TAAAAAAAAGAAATAAAAAACCTACCTACGTCATTTAGCGAATTCAAAAGTACAATCCTGAAGAAAAGTAAGTTAAGAAAAGGTAAAAAGGTAAGTTAAGGAGAGGTAAAAGGATAAATTAAGAGGTAGAAAGATAAGTGAATTATTTTATTAAAAAAATAATAATAAAAAAAAAAAAGCCTGTACCATTTCACGATTGCCTACACAATTCCTAAGCTTTATTTTTTTTAAAAAAAAAAAAATCTACAGATCTATAATTTTGGAATTTCACAACTATTTCGTCCCTTGTCGAAATGCTAATTTCAACTGAAGTTACACTAAATTTCATCCTCCATAATAATTTCGACCTCTCATAAATATTTTTATTTTTTATAATAATTTTGGGGATCATTTTAAATTAACCGAGGTTGGATCTTGAATTTTTAATTTTGGGGGCATGTATAATTTATACTAATAGTTTCCTATAAAATTAAACTAATAAAATATAGTTATAAATAAGTTAATATATAATAATAAAATAATAATATAATAAATAAATAAGATAAAAATATAGTAATAATAAAATTTATCAACTAGGATCAATAGCATGTAATTGATACAGCTGAAATAAAATTATAAATATAAGTTAAAAATAGAATAAGAATAAAAAAAAAATATAAAATAAAATAGAGATGGAAGGTGGTATTTAAAAATTTTTTATATAATGATTATGCAAATTTTGATTATTACTAATATAAATTACTCAAGATCTTCTTTTTAATAATAATTTTTTTATAAGTTTTTAATATAACTTTATAAAAAATAAAAATCATATTTATAAAAATTTTGAAAGCTGAATTTTTAATATAAGGAAATAATCTGTAAAATAAATATTTTCTAGAGTATAATATTTAAAGAATAATAATTTAATAAATAAAAAATATAAGACCTTAAAATCTTTAAAAACTTATAATATGAAAGTCAAAAAAAGTTTATTTAATATTTGAATTATAATTAATATGTAAATTTGAAAATTTAAAAAGATATCAAATATTGTATATCTGATTATACAAAAATTTTTAATTAGTAATTCATATATAATGTGATATTTTTATTAACTGTTATTAATAAAATTGAAAATTTACTTAACTCAATTTTAATTTTTTCAATTTTTAATTGTATTTAATTTAATTTAATAATTTTGATAATATATATAAAAATAATAATACAATTTTTTGAAAGAAACATTTGTACTTAGGTTTCAAGATTTTATATCTGATATAAATTATTTTTATTTATAAAAATTATTTAATTTATCATATATAATTTTTAATTTTTTATTATTTGAAGATATTAAACTATCACAATAATTAAATACAAAAGAATTACTATATCAAATGGTAATTCCTATACTATAGATTGACTAAAAATTAACAACAATCAACTGTCCTATTGTATATTATATTATAATTAGCTAAAATTGAAATTCCTTTTCAGTACAGTATATCTTTTATATTTGACCTGTGCTGATAATAAAAATTATTTTATTTTGATATATTTGTATTTATAAAAACATGTTGAATAAATTTTTTTTGTTTTTCTAAAAAATAATAAATATTGTTAATTTTGAATTCAATTTTTTTGTTTTAATAAAATATGAACAAATAAAATTATTACTAGAAAATTTTAATTGTAACCTGTTTTAAATATATTATTTAGTATATACATGTTTCCAAAATTGATTTTGGATTTTTGAGGTATTTCGACTTTTTGAGATTTATGCAAAATCTATTCTATATATAGAAGTAAAAAAAGTACTTAGTTATATGTATCTTTAATCAAAGAATAAATCTGAGTGGTCAAAAAATTTCAAGTTTTAAGTAAATAATTTCATCTTTTATGAAAAATTATTTTGACTTTTTTCCTTGAAATTGTAATTTTGGGCCCCAAAATAATTTTGTGTGCAAGTATAATTTAGTACCTAAATAAATATTCAAAAAATTAACAAATATATAATATGTGATTTTGGTATATCTTACATATAGTAATTTTGATCTAGTAATTTTAACTCAAATAAAAATAATTTTTTACAAAATTTATTATAAAACTAATTACAACTATTAAATAATAGTTTTACTGTCTTTGTAACTTTTACAACTTTACAACTATTACAACCATTATAACCGTTATAACTATTGTACCAATTACAGTATTTATAACTATACAACTATTACAACTATTATATCAATTACAACAAAAATCATTAATCATTGGATCAAAAGTTATAACCTTCTGTTTTGTGAAATCTATTATTGCAGACAACACTATCATTATTATCATTATTGTTATTGCTATTATTATTACCATTATCACTTAAAAAATGATCTGGAAAATTATATTCTCAATTAGTAAACCTGTCATTATTAATTGCAGAGTAAAGTTATATAGTAATTGAATCTTTCATTTAAATTTGAATTATCTTCAGAAATATTTTCTGTTTATTAGAATTTCTGATAAGTTCATTTTTTTTTCATTTTGTTTCTAAAAGGTCATAAAGAATATATTATTTTTCTTTTTCATATTCTAAAATATCTTGTCTCTAATTTCAGAATAATAATGTTAAAGCTGATATATAAATGCAAAATAAGCGATTTCACAACCAAAATCAGTAGATCTTTACCAATAGAGGACTGTGAGTGGGCTACACAATAATTCTCCTAAACTAATGCACATGTGCTTACGCCTCGGGCTAAAAAATTTTTACAAAGAACATGTGAGTCAATCATATCGTTACACATGCATTACACCTTGCTTGCGAGATCGAATTCAACAAAAATACTGTCGATTCACTTTATTGTTACGAATAAAATATATACATTATGCCATAATAAAAATACAATCACACGACTAACCGTCGTATTATATTTTTATATATATTTTTTTCCTAACTTTTTAACTATTCAACTATTCAGGATTGTCGACAGGAATGTGTTCTAATATAGGTAGCTTTTCATCCTTGATTGCTTTCCTGAGGATAACAACATTTTCGGGCTTCACGACCTTGACAGTGAAAATGTAATTAATAGGGAGAGTGGCGTCATGAACCAGATAGTTGAGTAGTATTCCGTTTTTGTTAGGTTTACGTGAAAATGTCCCAAAACTGGACGTCTTAAGATCCTTGTTGGCATTTATAATTAAGCTTTGACCTGAGTCATTAATGTTCGTGACTACTTATTATTAATCATATTTATCATTATATAATAAATAAATTTTCGGTAAATTAATTTATTATTATTATTGTCTTGTCCCTATTCTTATTCATTATTATTATTATTATTTTTTTTTTTTTGCAAATGATTGTATTGTAAAAAGAATTCGAAGGTCATGGACATGCACATAGTAAAAATTACATATCAGAATTCCTTAATACTCTGTTACTTGTAAGCTAATAAAAAAAAATTCGCGGATTTAAACATATTATTTATAATCATTCATGCAAACGTGCCAGGGCTCGATAAGGACCAATATGGCCTCCTCAAAAAAGTTCGAATCCGATTGTAATAGTAATCATTGTGAACAACTGTTACGTATATTCTCAATGGATTGCAGTGGAGGTCTAGCAATAGTTCATATTTTGAGAGATCAAGGGTCAACACTTTCCAAGTCCAAGTTCGCGGTAGGCAGTAATAAATAAAATTTCCTGAGTAAATTATTAATTTTAGTAATAGTTTAATTATTTATAATTTAATATAAATTTGCAATGCGCACAAACAACATTTATACATTTGTAATAATGATAAAATAATAATGAACAGTAATAAATAAATTTTCTTAGTAAATTATTAATTTTCAGTAATAATTTTATTATTTTTAATTTTAATATAATTTTGCAATGCACACAATAATATTTATTATTATTAACATTTATACAATTTGTAATAACGATAAAATAATAATTCCAAAAAAAAAAAAAAAAAAAAAAAAAAAAAAAAAAAAAAAAAAAAAAAAAAAAAATTTAAAAAAAAAAAAAAAAAAAAAAAAAAAAAAAAAAAAAAAAAAAAAAAAAAAAAAAAAAAAAAAAAAAAAAAAAAAAATCAATGATTTCAAGAAAGAAAAGAGCAGAAAGAAAGAAAGAAAAAAAAAGTGAGAAAATAATCTTATTGTTATTCTTTATAAGACTTATATTGTATTGTGTAGTGTGCGTGTAGGAGAGAGGGCAAAACCCCTCATCAAACCAAAAAATATATATATATATTTTTTTTGTTGGCAACTTTATGTGATTATGTATACATTTGAAAATATGTACAAAGATTTAATTAAAAAAAAGAAATATAACAAGGGTAATATTTTTATCACGTTGCTTTGAAGTCTCAAAGTTAAATAGTTAATAATAATAATAATAATAATAATAATAATAGTATAGTAAATTATGATGTTGATAATTTTTTTTTCTCATAAAAACGCTTTAATAATAAAGTATTGGTTGTCGTGTGTTTTTTGATAGTTTCTTAAAAAGAAAAAACAAGGATGAATAATGAATAATTCAAAAGAATTATTCCCGAATAATAAAAAATTGTTTTGGTGGTGGAGGAATTTAATGTGTTTTTTTTTGTTATAATTATTATTATTATTATTATTTATAATTATTATTATTATTTATTATTATTATTATTATTATTGTTAATAATAATAAAGCCCTAAAATAATTTATTTACTTAATTTAAAATTAATTAATGATTCCACCGAAATTATATAAAAGAAAAAAAAAAGGGGATGTTGCCTTCTATAATTTATATAAAGGTTTAATGCGTAAAGGGAAAAAAAATATGATACAAAATTTTAATTTTGGTCATGAGGGGGGTTGCATAATATTATTAAGATAAATTAAAAAAAAAAAAAAAAATTTATTATTATAAATGAATTTCTTTCTTGGCGTCTTTGCTCTTGCTTGGATGTGTGTGCTTGTGCAAAAATTTTTTTGTTTTTTCTTTATTCCTCGTTAAAAAATATTAAATATTTATTTAACAAATTCCTAAAGCATTCTTATTTTTTTCTACAAAATTTCTTACGTCGTCATCATAAACCTCGATTTGGAGGCCCAAAATTTTACGAAATGATTTTTCCATTTGGTTTACATCTTGAACAGAGTAGATACCTGAAATTTCTGCTAATTTAGAATTCATATCGTGGTGATTTGTATTATTTATATTAAAATCATCGTGATCTTCATATGATGACGACGAAGACGTCGATGTTGATGACGATGACGATATTAGATCGGGAGGGAATTGATTCTTATTGTTATTTGACAATGACAATTCTTCTTGAGATGATGAAGGAGTTGGAAGAGATGATTTGTAAGGACGAGCCAAATCTTTAGATGCCACAAGAATAGCTGATAAAAATAATCTATGATATGTATCTAATAATTATAATAAAATGTAAATGCAAAAATTTTTAGTTAACGTGAAATTGAGATTTCACATGATTTTCATGTGTAAAATTCTATGACTTAAAATCACAAATCACAGGACAAAAAGTTCTAACCTATTTATAATAACAAATAATTATAATAACAACAATAATAATAATAATCTTTTTAAAACAATGAACCACAACCCCTTTTCACGAGTTGAGCATGTTCAAAAAAAGCTAACTTTATAATGACAAAATGACAAAATAACAAGTAAAATAACAAGTAAAATAAATGATGATAACAAATAAGAATAATAATGACGATAAAAAAAATAAAATAAAAATAAAAAAAATATAAAATAAAATAAATAATAATTAAAATAATAATTAAAACAATTACCACATTCACCGAAAGCATTTTTGGGTAGCTTCTTCTTTAATCTTGATACCAAAATCAGAGCCACTATTGCTGTATGATAATCAATTTTAGCCCTCGTGGTAACTTTTTCCACAAAAAAGACTAGTTCAGGTAAAGGCCAATTTATAGTTTGAGGTGTTTGATAGGTCATTAAGATTCCGCACATACTTTCCGCGATAAAATCTATTATTATAAAAAATTCAAAAATTATTTATTAAAAATCAAAATCAAAATTAAAAATAGAATCAAATATAAATCGGAATGAAATTATTATAAACGAATAATAAAATATATATACGTATCGTATATTACGATACGATATAAAAGATTTTTTTTTTTTTAATAATTTATAACGAACGATATAGCGAATATTTTATAATGATGATATTTACTTGTTAATTCTAGCGGTAAAGGTTTATAACACGAAGAAGTAGCGGAATTTTTTCCTTTCTCCCCCTCTTCGTTAATATTAACATTACGTTGAATAGTGGCATGGAAATCGTTTGAACCATTTGCTGAAGAGTTATCGTAATAAGCGAGGCAAGTCATTTTGTATTAATGTTTTCGAAAATGATTTTTTAAAATAAATTTTTGCAGGTTATAGATAGATGTGTATATATATATATATATATATTTATTTATATTTATATATTAAGATAGTGGTAGTGAGATATTATGAGTAAGAAATTTCCGATAACTACACGAAAAGAAAGATAAAAATAATAGCAAGCGACTATTTACTATTAAATGTGATTAAAGAAATAAAAAAAATATATATATATTTGTTTATTTATTTAATTATTTAATTATTTAATTATTAAAGATTGAATATTGATGTTTTTTAACGAAATAAATGCAAAAGCAATTCTGCTTCAGCTTATATATGTAAACAATAAGTTAAATATATTTCTTTACAGTAATACATCACGAGTATTGTTTAATTTAAATATTTATATTATATTTATATTATGTGGATCATAATGAATTGAATTTAACAATAATAAATAAATTATTTTTGATTATTAAATATTTATAAAGAACAGGTCACACATCCAATTTTTATCATAATCATATGCTCAACTTTTATGCAAACGAAAATAAATAGATATCGGGACGACATATTTCTCGCTCCGTTCAGCTTCAATCGACTACATCTTTACCTCGATTTTATAATACCAATGTATAAAATAAAAAAAAATAAATAAACAAAAAATAAATAAATAAATAAATAAAATAAATAAAATAAACCAAAATAAAACAAAATAAAACAAAATAAAATATTGAAATAAAAAAAAAAAAATAAAAAAAAAAAAAAAATAGGTAATAATCAAGAAACTATCATTGATCTTAGGATTTGTGTAAGTGATCAAATAATGATAAGGAGAGTAATTAAAAATAATTAAAAATAATTAAAAGCAATTTAAAACAATTAATGTGATGATGGACGATAAGTAAAGAATTTAGTATTGTATTTATTATTATTATTCCACATAATAATTAATCATAATTAATCAAAAGAATCAAGAAACAATAAAAAGAATTTGAATGAATGAATGAAATGATAAAGAAAGCATGAATGAAAAAGTATAAAGTATTTAAAGGTAATGATAAGTGTAAAAGTATAAAACGATATATACATATATACATATATACATATATATACATATATATATATATATAAAATATGAAATAATAATAATATTTAATGAATGATAAAATTAAGAATATTGTGAATGATTACGAGAGAAAATATTATGATCGATAAATAAGATAAAGAACAATTGGTCCGGTCGTCAAAAAAAAAAAAAAAAAAAAAAAAAAGAGAAAAAAAAAAATAATCAAATAATAATTTTTATTTGACATTAAAATGATGAGAAAGAGGAAAGTGGATTATTTTAAGATATGCAAGTAATATATTGTCTACAGTTTCATTGTTAATAATTTGGAATTGATTTTCATTTTTGGGATTTCACGTTTAATATTAAAAAAATAACAGTTACAGATTATATATATATACCTTTTTTTATACATTGATTATAATATTGATTATAAACATTGATTATTGATTATAATATTGATTATAAACATTGATTATTGATTATAATATTTTGATGATTATATTTAGAATAGATTTTATGATAAATTAAACCCGTTTAGATGATGAGTCCCGGAAAATAGTCACGGACTTAGTCATCGGGTCGAGTCACGATGACTTGACACGCAATAAATTTTATAATTTTTATAATGATAAAATGACAAAATTAAATGTAAAATGAAAAAGAAAATAATTATTCTCCATTACCATTACCATTATATTTCTCATTTTTTTTTCTACCCCTAAATATTTCGTATCATATTTGTTTCTATATATTTAAATAAAGTGCAAATAAAGTGACAATGAACGAACATGATGATTGGTTACACTTTAAAAAAATTTTGAACCAACAAACAAAGCCATTTCCTCCTTCTTTATTCCTTTTTATGTTAGAAATGTAAATCACACCAGTCGTTGTTATTATTTTGCTTTTATTATGTTATTATTATGTGGTTATTATGTTATTTAGTTCACTAATTTAGTAATGTTTAGTCAGAACATGATTGATTATTTATATTTATTTATAATCTAAAACGTCAAATTTAATGTCAAGATTTTTACATCGTGCCAAAACCGATTACATATTTGGATTTTTGGAATTTTAAAGATTATTATTATTTATTATTATTATTTATTATTTATTATTTATTATTTATTATTATTATTATTATTATTATTATTATTATTATTAAATTTATATATTTATTATTATTATTATTAGATTATATTATTAATTATATCTGTATTACACTTTATCACCTTGATTTTGACCACAAATCTTTTTGTTTCAACAATTCACTTATTCTTGATAATAAAAAATTCTTCAACAATCATTGTTAAACAAATTTTTTTTATTTTTTTTTAAAAAAAATTCTTACTTTGCAGGTTTGTTAATTTAATTTTTTTTTTTTTGGTGATTAAAAAATATTTTTCAATCGTTTTCATCATCTAGTTCTTATAAACATATTCTAAGCCTAGCCTTACACTGCTTTCTTTACTATCATTTCATTTGTTAACAACCGGGCTTACGAAAAACCATTCCGATTCTTATAGTTCTTGAGCTCTGAAATTTTGACAAAACTCACATGAACTTATATTTTATAAATAATACAATTGAAATATTTCTTAATAAAGAGTTATTGTAAAATTGACCCATTAAAGAGATTAAAAATATTCACAAATAGGCAAAAAAATCGACAGGTCCGATTTTTTTGATCATTCGACGTGTGGTGGGTAAATGTTATTGTCCACTTGTTTCAAAATTATCTTTAATGATAATGATACTTTGCTGCAATCTAATCTTTGATAAATAAATTGATAATGGCATATGACAATTTTGTGAACAAAATAACTAAAAATGTTTATAGATCGAAAGTAGATATAAAAAAGATACAAATGAAAAGATGTGCTTAGTAACTACTGTACTCCTTTCATAATGTTCTATAAAATTTCCTAATGATGTTGAACATTTAGAAAGTTATGATACCAATTAACTTTTCTAGATCCGAATTATTTGAGTCTTGGGATTTGATTGTGTAATATTTGTTAACATTTTTGCGATGGCTTACATCATAATGTTTGTCAGGAGGAAGATTTCAAGAACATCTATCAAAATCAAGAACAAAGAAAATAATCAAAAATTATCTTGTATCCCATTCACTGCCTCATTTACACAACACAATTTTTTTTTTATATATGCGATGATCATCATTATTTACTGTAAGAAAATAAGAAAATTATTATTGTAAAAAATTGTAAAACCAAAATTTTTTTTTTGTTTTATATTTTTTGTTTCATTTCAAATAATTTATATAATAAAACTTATTCATGGAATTTATGGAATTTAGAATTTATGAATGAAGAAGTTAAAAATGTATTAAATGTATAAAACGCATGAATAATGAATTTCAATTTTTGTAACATTTTTATTCACTCTTTAATAAAAATTCTTTTTAATCATTCTTTTATTTTATTTATAGAAAAATATGTACAAATTGTCATAATGATTTCTTCATTTGTTTTCATTAAGAAAGAAAAAAAAAATAAAGAGTACGCCATTTTCGATAGTTCATATAATAATCTATAATAATAATAATCTATAATAAGATTTTTTATAATAATCAAAAAGAAAATCTGATTGACCAAAAATAGATATTAAAAATTATTAATAATAATCATCTTACAATTATTTCATATACATTGAAAATCATTTAATCGTTTCAATCATTTTTAATCGTATCATTTAATCATTTTAAAATCTTATAATACTAACAAAAAACGTTTTTTTGTTTTTATAAAACGTATCAGCTTAATCGTTTTGATCATTTTTAATCTTATATACTAACTAATAAAGAAAAACGTTTTTGTTAAAAAAAGAGGCTGATTAACTGGTGCAGCTACGTTTTTGGGAAATTGCTTTTTTGTATATTTTGTACATTTTGTATATCAATATAATCAGCCAGTATTAATTATATTTTATCTATCACATGATAAATTGTTGTTATTATTATTTGTTATTGCAGTTAATTGATGAATGTTGATCTTATATACTTTAATTACTTGGAATTTAAAACCTCCTCCTCTCTAAACTTTTTTAACATTTAGAATGAAATTATGATTAATTATGATTAATTATGATTAATTATGTTTAAATTTGCGTTCCTTCCATATTTAGAAATTAATAATTTCTTAATCCTGGTTTTTCTTTCGATTTTATATTTAAAAAATTTTTTAACACTATTAACTTGCTTGTATAAATACCATATAGGGAAGAATTATCCTAAGATCACAAACAGAGTACGTGGAGTAATTTTATAATAAAAATTCTTTTTTTTTTCCTTTTTTTCCTTTGTAATATTGTAATATTTTCGATCAAAAATCCCAATATTTGTACTTTGTTTTCTTTATTCTCTTTATTTTCATTGTTTAAAACTTTTAATTAATCAGAAATACTTTTATGCTTAGAACAACAAACCGGTTTTAACTGGATATTTTTATTTTCACAGATAAATAAGATAAATAAAAATAAATACACAGATAATGAACAGATAATATCACGGGTTACAACACAAAACGACGCCTTTGTAAACAAAAAGTTAATAAATAATAATAATAATAATAAATATTGATTTTTAGAAATTTTTTTTTTTTTTTTAAAAAAAAAAAAGAGTTTGTTAGAAATGCCTTCATAAAACTTAAATTCATTTTAAATTCTGGATTTAACTAGAAAATATCCGAATATATATTTTTTTTTTTTGAAAAAATATTAAAAATCTGGTAGAACCTTGTCAAAATCAAAATTATCCGTTTAGAATAATAAATAATAGAATTTGGTCCGAAAGGGAAGAATTATTATTATTATTATCTAATAAGAATTATTATTATTTAATATCCTTCTCGCATTTATTTTTTTCGGTAGAAATGAATTTTTTCAAAAACAAAAAAAAAAAAAAATTATTTTTTTAACCAATAGATATTCAAATTGAATAAAATAAATTTAACTAACCATCTTATTACTAGTGTCATTTACTTTCCCAATCCCAGGTGGCTTTGATGTTTCTCGCTTATCGAGATAAAAATTTAATTCCACGAGGTCATACATATTATATATTTGTATTATTGATTCTCATTTGTTCAATAGTAGTATTTAATATTTATTATTTACTCATATTATTTATTCATATTATTTATTCATATTATTTATTTTTTACTCATATTATTATAAAGGCTGTGACATATTCAACCTGGAAGGAAAAAAAAAAAGAAGAAAATAGATTTTATAGTCGAAAATTATTATTATCAATTTATCAAATTTAGCAGAGAGGCTTTCACATATTGTGTAGGTATTATATTATACTAATTATGGTTTATTATACGAAAAATAAAATAAGAAAACGAGTTTTTATTTCATTGATATCCAAAAAAGCGAAACTATACTATTTTAATAATTTAAACTGTTTTGAACTTTTAAACTTTGTCTTTGCCACCAATACCACTATCATGACGACCCCACGACTTACCCCAACCGTCATTAACAAAATCTAAAAAAAAATCTAAAATCAAAAAAAGGCTCATTGAAAAAAAAAACTGCGCCATATTATAGTTGGTTTTAATTTATATTCAATATATATTAATTTGAAAATCAGTTAAAATTGGTTAGAAACCTTCTTTTCAAGTGGTTCAAGTGATAAAAAATAAAAAAAAATAAAAACCAAAATAAGTTAAAATAAAACTAAACGAGTGAATGGTCATCAGTTCAACCACATTATTGACACATGATTATAATCACTTCTTTTCATTTTTTTTTACCAATGAAATTGAGCATATGATCATATAAATCATCTCTGTTGATTGATAATTTTGATATTGTAAGATAAGAATTCATTGAACTGAGACAAAAATCTCTGAGTTAAAAAAACCGAGATGGCTCGGCTCGAAGATGATATTCATAGGCATTTATTTATGTTATATATATGCTATTTATGCTACTTATGCATCAGTTTAATTGCTATAAATAAAAAATTATTATCATAATTGACCTATAAGATACTATAAATATAAATATTATTATTGATCATTTTAATATCTATATAAATAAATAAATAAATACATATATTGTCTTCAATAATAATAATAATAATAATAATAAGCTTTAATTGAAGCGTAATAATCAAGGCTTTTGGTTTCACAAATTCGACACAAGCCTCTTTTTCGGATAAAATTTTTCTCATTCTTTATTTCTATAAATGTATTAGATTTCCATTTTTATTTATTTTTTATTTTTTTGATATGGTAGATAAAAAAAAAAAAACTCATGACACTTTTTTATTTGTTTTATTTATTTATTTATTGAAGTACGCGAAAAAAGCTTAAGCACATGATTCTGTGACATATGCAAATTGATGCAAAAAACTCCTTGTGTGGTATTTGTAATAGTAATAATAGTTGGCAAAAATGTATTTCGTAACTAATTTCTAATATTTCTAAATAAAAATTATGTATTAAGATGAACATGAGACACGACACAAGGTTTATATAATTATTGAGATCTTTGAAATATTAACTATATATATAAATAATTTTTGTGATTTAGATTATTTTATTGTGATGATTCATTGTATACATTTCTAATGAAAAATGAACATGTCTCGAGATTTTATTTCCTTCTTTAGGTTCATTTTGGATATTGGGCATCTCCAGATTTTTTTCTCCCTAAAAATTTATTATTACTCGTAATTCACTTGAGGAAATTATTTGTGGAAATCACTTGTTATGTGAATCGATCTATTTTGTCTCGAGTTTTCTTTTTGTTTCAAAGATTTTTTTTTTTTTTTTTTAGATTTGTTATTGTTTTTTATGGATTATCATTTCATTTGAACGCGCCAATGTTCCAAGAACCAAACGCAAATGTAATTCGATTTTCTAAACAACTTCCATTCAAAACATTCAAAGATGTTATGATAAACACTCCTGCATTTTTTTGCGTTTTTCATTTCATTTTGTTTATTTTTTATTTTTTTTTATGGGGAAGGGGAAGGAGTTTATAATCCACGTGCTGACAATAATGACTTTTTTGATTCATATACAAGTATTTGACTTGCTCTGAATTCATATCCTATGATAATTTAATCTACAAGTCAGCTGCTGAAAAATGCTGCGAGTTAACAAAATTTTTAGAATATTTTTTCTTCCTAAATCTTATTGTATGTGGTTAATTGATCCTTTAACATATGGAAAGAAATCCTTTATACAAATCATTTTAATCTTTTACATTTACATTCATTATGATAACATTAAATTACATTAAATCAAAATTTGATTCGAACATAACAATTTTTTTTTTTCAGTATTTTCATTATTTTACTAATTAAAAAAAATTTCTAGAATTTTAAATAAAGTAAATAAAGTTAAAATTAAAATGTCCATAGTATATATATTTAGATATTAAATTCATTTCTAATGGTATCAGAAAAAGGTAAAAACTTGTTTTTTACGATTTTATCAAGTGGTATTTTTAGTTGATAGTATAATCGTTCGGAATTGTTATTATTTAAATAATCCGTTTAAATTACCTAAATGGAGGTTTTGTACATAAAGTTATGTAGAATATATATAGTAAACTGGATTTTTTATTCAATGATTGGTTAATGATAAAGTCACTTGAATAATTTGTATAATGTCGTGTGAAAAATTGGTTTGTTTCCAATCCTCGGGATCAATAATAAAAAAATCAATAAAGACACCAAATATCTTTGGTATCTGATATATATACATATTTGAATGAATGAAAATATAAATTTATCCAATTTTTGCTTATTAATGTCATTTTTTTTTTAATATTTTTAACATTTTTAATGGAAGATAAAGTTTTAAAGTACCGATACAAAACCTAATAGGGAAAGATAAAGGTTGAAACTTTCTTCATTTTCTTGTGTTCAAAAAAAAAATGAATGAGTTTATTTATTTTTTGTTATTTTATTTTTATTTTTTTACTATACTATACTATCGGTAACTATTATAGTTTAAGAAATAGGTGTATATTCCGGAAATATGCAAATTATATTTCTAGAACACTTGAACAATTTCCAATTAATTATATTTCTAGAACACTTGAACAATTTCCAGTTAATTATATTTCTAGAATACTTTGAACAATTTCCAGTTAATTATATTTCTAGAACACTTTGATCAATTTCCAGTTAATTAGAGGGTCAAAGTGATCCAGAAACAAAAAAAGAAAAAGAATAAAAGTGTCGATTTTCTGTTAAAAGTGATCTTATTTTACCATTTAATATAAGAAATATAACTAAATCAAAAAGTAAAACTGATTTCTTTTTTTTGAAAGTTTTTTTTTCTTGTTTTTATCAAGGACCGTGCTGTATTTATTGGATTTTTAAGAACCGTGTTGTATTTATAAGATTTTTTTTTTTTTTTATTACGAGAATTCCTATTTAAATCATGCGTAGGGATCACATCTGATGACTATTCAGTTTGTATTTGTTTTCTTTTTTACGACCATTTTTAATTCATTTTTAATCATTTTTTAATTCATTTTTATTCGTTCGCTGTGAAACAATGTTCTTTCATACAACAAAAAAAAAACACGGAAATTGTTGAATGTATAATCATTTTTTAATTCATTTTATTCGTTCGCTGTGAAAAAAGGTTCTTCCCGGTAGAATTCATACAAACAAAAAAAAAACACGGGAATATTGAATGTAAAATGGTAATCTGAATTCGATAATTAAACGGAATTGTTTTTCCTTAATAGCGTAAATGTCAATGAGATTTATTTAAATTCTACAATTCTTTTAATGCTTATTCTGTGCAATATATAAAAGAATCAAAGGTTGATTCATTTGAAAAAAAAATGAATGGAAGTAGAACACTTTCATTGTTTCCTGTATAAGAATTCTATTTCCTTTTTCGAAGGAGATTAACATTATATACAATAATTTATTTATTCTATAAATATTTGATTTAACTTTTTCGTGTGTGAATGTGTTTTTCACTTTTAAACCAAAAAAATTAAATAAATATTGGTAAGTTTTCATAATTATCTAATAGATAATGTCAAAAAATTTTATTCGTTACTATTTTATTTAACAATTATCATTATTATTATTATTATTAGTATTATTACAATCATTATTTCAAGAATCACGTGTCTTAATAAGCATAATTTAATATAATTTATATGAAAAATGAATCAAAAAATTTGGTGTCAAAAATGTGAAAAGGATATTCCATGTAAAAACTGTCAGAAAGAAATGGTGAAAAATCAATTTTCTAATTGGTCATGTGGCAATCCGAAACTAGACCAATATTTAAAGAAAAAACAAATAGAGGCCATAGATTATTCAATTAATATACCAGTAAAGTGGATACCATCTGAAGAATTTGAGGATATCCAATTGTTAAAATGCGGTGGTGAAGGAAAGATATATTCTAGCTACTGGAATAATGGTCCTTTGAATCTTGGAAAGGAACGAGTTGCATTAAAATGTCTTCATAGTTCCACTCACGATGTTGACAAATTTATTAAAGAGGTGAGATTTTTATTTATAAATTAATTAATTAAATAACATAAAGAATTTTAATAATAAATTTTTATATTCATCTTTTCAGCTTGACTTACAAGTGAGTTTATGTCACACCAATACACCACTTTGCTATGGGGTAAGTCGATTATCATTTTCATCCACAAGTCCGTACGCCATAGTGATGGAATACGCGGAAGATGGTGATTTAAAACATTATATTCAGACTAACTTTAAATCGATAAGATGGAGAGAAAAATTGGAATTGATGTATAATATTTCAGAAGCCTTAACAATTATACATAAAGCTAAACTTGTTCATGGAGATCTTCATAGTGGAAATATATTAAGAAACAAGAAAACATTTTACATTTCGGATCTTGGATTATGTAGGCCATACACTGAAACTAATAATCGCGCAAAAGGAGTTCTTCCTTATGTCGCACCGGAAGTGTTATGTGATAAACCATATGGACCTGAAGCTGATGTTTACGGATTTGGTATAATTTTATGGGAAGTTGTATCAGGTAAAAATCCCTTTGAACCTATACCACATAACATTAAGTTGGTACAGAGTATTATAAATGATATCCGTCCATTAATCGGACGAAATGTTCCAAAAGAATTAAGTGAATTGATACAAAAATGTTGGTCTAGTGAACCAAAATTACGTCCGAGTGCTGATGATTTACATCAAACTTTTGAGAAATGGTTATTTGATGATCAAAAACATGAAAATTGGGAAAGGTTGGAAATTGAAGGTGATGATTATGAAAATATTGAAGTTGAAACGAAAAATGAGAGAACAAGAAGTATTTGTATTTCTTTACCTGTCACTAGTCAAATTAATTTTGTAATTCCGGATAATTTTAAATGGGAAGACGAAGATTCAGAATAGAAATAATATAAAGCGTAAATTAACTAATTAACTATATTATTTAACACTATATACTGTATGCTATTTAATATTATTAAAAAATACCCAACTTATTTTATATATATATATTTTTATATATATATTTTTATATATATATTTATATATATATATATATATATGTATTTATCTATAATCTCAAAAATATATACAACACAACACAGAATAAATCGTGTAAAATCATAATAATACAATAAAAAATTTACATTTAAAAACCGTAAAACTATTTGAGATAATTATTAATTATAAATTGATAACTTCCTGGATTACAAAGACACCATTCATATTATTCTATACATGCCGTTTAAACTAATTTAGCCTTGAAAGTTCTTCATCTGACTCGATAATTTGCGTCATTTATTTTTAATTGCGTCTTATTATTCAATAGTTATGACGAAATGTATATAATATAATAAGAATATTCAATTATTTATTTTCGAACAACAAACCTAACATTATATAGTTTATAAGTATTTGAATTATAAGGTATTCCTCAAATTAGACTTGCAAAAGGATGATGTACCGAAGACGGGCGAAACTCAAAAAAGGAAATTTAACCAGGGCACATGTGGTTGCGATTTCCTTTTAGTCTGTACCCTGGGTATATGAAATTGTTTTAATTATTGAGAATAAGAATTCCCAAGTATTGTTTGTATTTTAGTGTATAATTGGATTCCTTTAAATAGAATACAGACCAAAATTAAACTCTTGACCATTAGCGACAATGTATGACATTGAAACATATAAATATCCTATGATTTTCTCATGACCTGCACGACCCCCTGATTTAGGGGCCGTGGGAAATGCGGAATTATTATGAAATAACTGGAATCTACGTTATAAAAATATTATAAATATAACTAAAAATCATATGTGATATGCATAGCAATTTTTTTTTTTAATACAAGTTTTTTTTTTTTTTTTTTTCAAAAAATATTTTTTTCTCATTTTCTTATCTCTCGAAATGACAACCTACAAATATATAGAAGGCAAAACTGTTGCAATTATCGGTTGCCCTTTTAGTGGCGGACAGGTTGGTTTAGGTTATTTTTATTTATCTTTTGGTCTTATATTAAAATTTTATCCATTTTTTAATTTAAAAAGCCAAAAGAAGGCGTCGATGAAGGACCATTGAAAATGATAGAATACGGTTTAATACCCCAACTTCAAGAAATGGATTGGGATGTAGAATTTGATGGTCATTATAGACTTACAGATCTTCGGCCAGCCAAGGATCCAAATATAGGGAAACTCAAGAGACCTCTTTATGTTTCACGGGTAGCTCAAACTGTAGCTAAAACTGTTGAATCACATCTTAGAAAACGTCAATTGGCGCTGACTTTAGGAGGTGACCATAGTCTTGCTATGGGTACAGTATCAGGAACTTTAGCAGTTTATCCAAATGCTTGCTTAATTTGGATTGATGCTCATGCGGTATGACCCATTAAGGAAAGTACTAATTTATAATTTATAAAATAAGAACATTTAAATCTTACTTTATTCATATTTATAGGATCTCAATACTCCCGAGAGCACAGAATCTGGTAACTTACATGGTTGTCCGGTATCATTTTTGTTAGGAATCGCTGGTAAAGTACCGGGATTCGAATGGATCAAACCATTACTCACAGCCAATAGACTTGTATATATTGGATTGAGAGACGTTGATCCACCAGAAAAATTACTCTTAAAAAAACATGGTATAAAAGCATTCTCTATGCACGAAGTAGATAAATATGGTATTGGTAAAGTAGTAGAAATGGCTCTCGATGCAGTAAATCCTGATCGAAGTTTACCTATTCATCTTAGTTTTGATGTTGATGCACTCGATCCAAGTGTTGCCCCAAGTACAGGTATTTCTAATTTATAAAATAATTAAATAAATTAAATATATATATATATTTTTTTATTCTCTTAATGCGAAAACAAAGTAATTAAAATTACTTTTTATTACAGGTACTCCTGTTCGTGGTGGGTTGACTTTCAGAGAAGGTCATTATATCTGTGAAGCAGTTCATGAAACTGGTAGCTTAGTCGCACTTGATATAATGGTAAGTTATTAATAGGATATTAATAGATTATATTTATTTTTAAGTGAACATTTTTATTCAATAATTATTATTATTTTTTGATGATCAAAGGAAGTGAATCCTTCTCTTGCGGACGAAGCCAGTGTTTTTCAAACAGTAACGGTTGGATGTTCTTTGGTTCGATGCTGCCTAGGTATAAATTTGCATTGAATTAATTTATATTTTATCCATAAATTTATTTATTAATGAATTCTATTTTATTTAAATTTAGGCGAAACCTTACTATAAAATAGATATATATTTAACTAATAATAATAATAATAATAATAGAAATTTTAGAATCATTCTTTTATAATAAAGTACAACCATTATTAATAAGGTTATAAAATATTTATATAATCAGAATTGTGTTACAATTGTTTTTTGTGCCATATGAGGAATATGAGGAATCAACATTAGAATCATGTGAATATAAATGACAATGTTGATAGTTGCCATATATAGGGGTAGGCTAAAGCGGAGTAGAATCATGTGAGGTGATTTCGGGTTAAGGCGGAAGTGTGATCGTATCACATGTA